GTCCCTGGCTGGCTCGCATCGCGAGTGAGGTAGAAGAGGAGTAAAGGTTGAGAGGAGATGTCTTCAGGTAGTGCGTCAAGTTCTTCCCTCCCGCTTCCTCTAGGCCACCCCTGGTCTACTCCCCAGCTGTTGGAAGGATAGCACAAGCCCCTGACTCTAGAGCTGCTCTCACCTTTAATTTATTCCCCCATAACATGCTTTTTCTCCCCAACTGCCCTGCCCCAAGCCTCCTTCTCAGAGCCTCCTGACACAGGCCCTTTGGACCGAGTTTCTCAGGGATGCCCATGCCGCCCCCAGCTCCTCTTGGCATCAGTCTGCAGTCCAGCCTGGGAGCTGGAACCTGGGTGTTTTGGGACATCTTGCCTCAGTTCTAGGATTCTTTCCCACGGGCTTGATTTTGCCCTAAGTAGTTGGGCAAAAACTGTGCTGTCCCAGAGAAAAGCTGTTTTAGCAACAGGGCGTGGAGCTCTCTGCACATCCACAGAGCTGGGCCGGGCTTGTGCCCCTCAGAGCCTAGAGCTTTCCAGTGCTCCCAGGAGGCATCAAAAAAGACACCCTGAGTTTAACTGGCCTGACAGCCTTTTCCAGGGGAGACCTGTGAACCTGAGCCAAAGGGCTGGTGTGTACACTTGTTTACTGTGTAAGCAAGAGTAGAAGAATGTGTGATGTACAGTGGAATCTTGTACAGAATAAATAATAGCTTTGAGAAACAAATTGGTGAGCAGTGGAATCTTGATTTGGGAGAGGTTTGAACCCAGGAAGCACTCCTAGCCTGTCAGTGGCCAGGTATTTTACTGCTTTGGCCAGATTGTAAATTCCAAGTTCTGGAAAAAGTTAACTACCCGCTTTTTGGTTTAAACTTCTCAGTTCTGTAAAAAAAAAGCTGAACTAGTACTCATTTCGAACATGACATTTCTCACCTGGATTCACCGGTTATTAACGTTTTCCACCTCTGTCTATGTATACTTTATTCTTTGGGGCAAAATATTTAGGGGTGAGGTTTCCAATCACCATCAGCATGTGTCTCCCACTTAATCACAACCCTGGCTTCACACCTAAGAAAATCAGCATCTCTAACAGATGTTTCTTTAAATGGTCTACCTGCTCTTTAACTGCTGGCGTGGGCACCCCTGTGGTTCCCTGTTGACACGGGTACCTGTGCTGACCTACAACAGGCTAAGACAGGCCTCTCCAGCAGAGGCTTAATACAGCAAATCTGCTCTTAGAGCAGAGCGGCCGTGCCTGGGCGTGGAGTGATCAAGGCTTGGTCCTCAGGGAACGGAAGCTCTCAGCTTGCCCCACAAAGACCTGGAAACAGCTGCCTTTTCATTAAATGCGCTGTTCTCCAAAGTGTTTTCAAGACGGCACCAGATTTAACCCCTTGAAGGGAGGGCCTCACTGGGGCCCCCAAGGGACTCAGCGCCTTTGGTTTTATCTTTTCTCAGTGCTGTTCAGATTTACCATTTCTACCAGATTCTAGAACTTGGGAAACTGAAGTCTCCACCAGCTGAGCTTAGAGTGTTTACCGGGATTTTTCCCGCAGCCATCCCTGCTCCAGACACTGAGAAATCAAAGCACTGCTGTTACCTCCCGGGCTGAGACAATGGTGGGGGCAATTTTTCTGGACATTTCCAAGAAGGCTTGAAAACAACAGTGACTCAAGCCTGGGATTTCTCCCCAGCCTGCCCTAGGAGGAGCCCAACGCAGGATACCATGTTAAATGCTGATAACATACCCCAAACCACAGGTGAAGAGGATCACCCTCAAAATGGAAACAACAGCAAAGTGGGTAGCTGAGCCCCAAACCCCTGCAAGGTGCACTCCCTCTCCTGTGACTAGTTTCTCACTAGAGGTAGAAGTGTGTCTGTTGTCTCCCACCGGGAACAAGCTGCAGGTGGCATCGAGGGCAGGGGCTCAGTCCCCTCCACCCTGGCTCCCAGCGCTCCTTTCTGTGCTTAGCCTGTGGTGCTTGCTTCTCCCACAGCAACGCGTCCTGGTGCTACACGGAGCCCCATACACAGCCTGTCCCCATGTTTCTTTACCCATCAGCTTTGTCTCCTAGCAACTGGGATTGCTTCCATTCTCTGCTGGCGTTCCCCTGGCCTCTCCCTAGGGGAGGCGTTCCCCTGGCCTCTCCCTGGGGGAGGCGTTCCCCTGCACCTGCTCTTGTGTGACCTTGAACAAGAACCTCCCTCTCTCAGGGCTTTAGTGTCTCATCTGTGAATTACGGAGACTGGACTAGTGGATCTCAAAGGTCTCAGCTCAAGTGTTCTCATTCTAAGTCACTATTTCTCTAAACACAAGTCCTACATTAGGGGACTTAGACATATCTGGCTCCCCGGTTCCACTTTATGAAGTTTATATGTTTTAAAGTGACAAGTGCTCAGAAAGTACATATCACTTTCTTTCCATAAAGCTTCAGAGTTAGGACCATAGAGGTCACCTTGTCCACATTATCTTTCCAGTGAGGACACCTGCGCTGGAGAAATTGCTCAAGTCCACCAGCTCATCAGATGGAACCCAGGGATCTTGACTCCCCAACCAGATTTCTTTCCATCTGAGTGCTCTGCCTTTTGGTCAAATAGCATTTTTTCCAGGACTTTCTGCAGAAAATTTCCCAACCTGTGTCTGTTAGCAATTGAGCTGAACAGTGACATAACCAGGGAACTCCCTGACTCTACACATTCACACACACCCAAGAGCAGACCCAGCACAATCTGTCAACTACCTGGGCACTAGCAGGTCTGGGCTGTGCATCTCTAAGGGGCCCGTCCTTCACTGCTCTATGGGCACAAACACCCGGGCAGGAGGCAGCAGAAGGAGACTAGAATTCATAGTCCAAGAATATCACTTAGTTTCTCTGAGCCTCAGTTTCCTCCTCTGTAATCCAAGCATAACAATAGCTACTCAGAGCTGCAAGTGTCTGGCCCACAGTAGGAGGTCAACGAATGTCCATATTCCCCCAACTCACTTCCATTCCTAGGACCACACCATCAATACTCCACTACGATCCTCTTAATGGGTGATGTTCGGCAAATGCTTAGTTCTCCTGGCCTCTTAGGATGAGAAGTCAGCCTTCTGACTTCTCAGGAATGCGAAGTATGGTGTTGCCCAAACCACACAGAATTAATGAGACAGAGCCACTGAATGTACATTCTGAAGCCAAGGGATGAGCTTTCTGATTTCGTGATACTTGGTATGACCTGCCTCTTGGAGGTAGCAGTGGGGTGGCTGGGCCTGAGCTGCAGTCTTCCAGGCTCCTAGAGACCAGAGAAGATCCAGGAACCAAGGAGTGGAGAGTCAAGGGCGGAGGTGGCAGTGAACAAGGAGAAGAGGGAGTATCTGACAGATTTACGGGGTTAGAAATGTCAGGTCCTAATGCACACCTATAATGCTGGTCCCAGGAGCGAGCAAAAGGCAAGCGTTCAGATCAGAGGACAAGCCTGGACAAGGACAAGTAGGGTGGGTACAGTGTGTTCCAGGACAACAGAGAGGCTGGTCTGCCTGGCATGGAAGGTTAGAGCTGGAGAGCCAGCAGGAGGGAGAGCTAGAGAGCCAGAGTCTAGAAGGTGACAGCTAACCTCAAGCTGGCCTCGCCCCTCCTGGTTACAGAGAGGCCGCAGAGAGCAGGCCAGGCTGAGCTGCAAGGATTCGAGCTTACAGGAATGAAGCAAAAGCCCAGAGGAGCTTCCAGGAAGCTAGAGATCACTCGAGCAAGAAAAGAGAGAACTTCCCTTTGCTTGTCAGTTTTGTCCACAGTTGGCAGCGGGACAGTCCATGTAGACACTTCTGCAGCAGCAAGGAAAGCAGGTGCTGGAGACGCTATGTCCACAGCCGATGGTGGAAACATGGGGAGACCCCATGAGAAGGAAGAGGCAAGAAGGCCAAGGCCCCACGGCCTAGGAAGGAAGAAAAGGAAGCCTAAGAGATAGCCAAGAATGAAGCAAGCAACCTCGGGCCCGAGGGCTGCAGGCCTGAAACCTCCCTGGGGCTTCACGGCCCCGGCCTCCTCTGCACACCTGGGCTCCAGCAGACACCTCCTACAGGAGTCCTCGGCCACAGGCCCTTTCACCGCCAATATTCTACAAGGTTTATAGAAAGAACATGGAAAATGTAAAAAAGAAAAGGAAAAAAGGATTAAATGCTGAAAACCAGGAATCCAACAGACCCACCCCTGAAACCCTGCGCTGCTCCTTGCCAGCTGTCTGACTCTGGTGTCTCAGTTACATCTGGAAAATGGGAACAAAAACACTTCCCTGACCATCCTCCCAGGGCTGTTATGAGGGTCGAGTGAGACGATGAGTTAAGGGGTCTGTGTTCTCTCTGTCTCATTGTCCCTTACCCTATGCCATTCTCCCACCCTGACCTGGGCCCTCGCTGGGGGGGCTCCTCTCCCAGAAACATGTCCACAAAGCAGCCAATCACAAAGGTGTCTGTGTCCGCAGAGCCAGGCGTGTAGTGGAGGATGGCTGGGGCAACAGCAAAGCCAGAGAGAAGCTTCCTGCCCTCCCATCCTACCCCCGTGCTTCCTTTCTACCATCTTTCCACAAACAGGGACTGTTCTAAAACCCAGTTCTCTCCAAGCCACTCCCTGCTTAAAACAACCTGAGGTTAATCCTGAGGCCCCTGAGGGGGAAGTCCTGGCAAATACCCATTTTATCACTCAGTGGGCCCCAGACATAAGGAGAAAATTACAAAAGGCAGCTCTGGGACCCAAGACACCCATGAACCAGCTCACGGATCTGGCATTTGGAGTATTTAACAACAGAGACAGGGTTGAAGAGGTGAGGAGGATTCAGGGACAACAGAGGAAGGCACAGTTCTTAGCGGCAACCCTAACCCCTGCACCACCTCAGGGTTACCCTCTCTTTTGAAGACCCATGGTGAGGACAGGATCCAGGATGCCTGGATCAGAGGCATTGTTTCACCAAAAAGGGACCTGTTTTAAGTGCAGCCGGGAGGGCCACTGGAAGAATGAATACACCATGTATGGCAAGAGCCCACCGAGGCCCTGCCCGATATGCAACGAGAAGGCCACCGGAAGCGGGACTGTCCCCAGCCCAGAAGGGGCCCCCAAACCAATGATAGCCGAGGTGAGGGGGCCCGGGACCCTCCGTGGCTCCCAAAGGACACCTGGTCATTTCTCTGGAGGAGCCTCAGGTAACCCTTGACATGGCAGATAGGAACGTTGTTTTCTTATCAGACACAGCGCCGCTTACTCTGTGCTGACTGACTTCCCTGGACCCTTGTCCTCCCGATCCTGTGTAATAACCAGGATCGATGGAAAGCCACAAACCAAGCGATTCACAACCTAGCTGCCTGCTAGAAAAATTTTCCTTTGTATATCAGTTTCTGCTCATGTCTGCATGCCCCATCCCCTTGCTGGGAAGAAATTTGCTCACTAAATTCCAGACAATAACCCAATTTGGGGACCCTCACAAAGAGAGCACCCACCAAAGAAAAACGACTGCTCTTGGCCTTGGGAACCTACCTCCCAAGCCAGAGGAGGTCTCCCTTCCACCCCATATTGTTTCTTAAGTAAACCCCACTGCCTGAGACACAGAAGTCCCTGGCAAGGCTAATATGCCCCCAGTTCAGATCTCCTTAAAACCCAATGCTAATTATCCACAAAGAGACATTATTCCTTGAGGCCTGAGGACCAACGAGGTACCCAGCCTTTAATAATGAAGTTCTTAACATTGTAAAATGATTATAAATCAATAAAAAATGTTTAAAAAAATCAAAAAAAATATAACCAAGTTCTTAAAGCATGGGCTGTTACAACCCTGCCAGTCTCCACGTAGTACTCCCATTCTCACGTAAAAGCAAAATGGAGAATGCCGGCTTGTCCAAGACCTGAGGACAGTTACTCAGATAAAAACACTATTCAGGTTCTCAGCTTCCTAGGGGAACGAGGGTACCAAGTTTCTCCTCACAAGGCCCAGATTTTCACCCAACAGGTTAAGTACCTGGGATATGTGCTCTCCTTTGGGCCTGGAACTGTGGCCCAAGACCAGAAGGAAGCTACTATAAACAACAAACATGGTCCCATAAACCAAAGATCAGACGAGGTATAGCCCAAAAGTTCCACTTCCACTCCCAGACGGAGGCCTCCAAACAGATTTTCGAGAGCTGGGCCAGAGAATGGGCCCAGAGTGGCTCGCAGTAAGCCCAGAATAGCTCACTCTCTGAAAGGCAAATGAACTCAGATGGATTGGGTAGAATTTTCCCATCCCGCACAAGCTGGAGTGGCTCATTCCAACATCATGAACACAAAATCACAAACAACAAATAAGCTATAGTCACACGGACAGAAAATCAGAGGAGGTGTAAAGTTCTACTTCCACTCCCAGACGAAGGGCTCCAAATTGATGGGCCCAGCTCCCGAAAGAGAATGGACCCAGAGTGACTCACAGTGAGCCCAGAGCAGCTCGCCTTCCACAAGGGAATAAGCCCAGATGGAGTGGAGAGAATTCCCAGCCTGTGCAAGCTGGAGCAGCTCACCCCCCAGTTACAGTGAATGTGGACCACAGCTTTTTTCTAGTTCCCAAATATCTACTCAGTTTAAAGAAATAACCGTGATATGCAGTAATATATATCATTCACTCACCGTTACATGCCTCACTTTCAGCAAAACAAGGAAGAGAGAACAGGATTTGGACTCAGGTACACACACATACACACACATGCGCGCGCGCGTGCACGCGCACGCGCGATTACCCAAAAGTAACTCAAGATAACCCTGCCTAAACCCATTATGGAGATCCTAACAGTTAACGTGGCCATATACTGTTACCATAAAAATATCATCTTCCTCTTAATCATAGGTTCATAGTTGTAATCAGACCACTTATCCAAAATGTGCTTCCGAGGACTTTAAGGATAGTTGAAATATTCCCCATTTTTTAAGACAGAAATACAGCACAAAACAGCACACAAATGCTAGCATACAAAGAAACAAACGAACTGGTTCACAAATCAGGTAGAAGTCCAACAACTACTTCCTCTGTCCAACAGGGTACCCCACTCAAATACAAAGCAAGCTGGCTTATTCTGGAGAAGCCCCAGACAGAGGAAATGAAGCTTCCAGCCATACACACTGGAGCGATTTACCGTACCGTATGGAGCTCGTCTGCTCCCAGACGTCGATTCCTTGCTCCAACTGCCAAGCGCTGGGGCAGTCCGTGCCACTTTGGGGAATTTTGCAGGGAAGATCCTCAAGAGAAGTAGTCCCGGCAGCTGCTGGGGCCTGACCAGAAAACTCCTCAGCCAGGGCCAGCTGGACACAAGTGTCAAGGCTCCTGGCTCCTGGCTGGCTAAGACAAACTTTGTTACCGAGTCCAAGCTCGCACTGCTCCCTGCATGACACACTAATAAATCAAGAGATGAGTTGCTGGGGCAAGGCATAGAAACTTTATTCGGAAAGCCAGGAGACTGAGTAAGATGGTGGGCTAGTGTCCCAGAGAAACATCTTGCCTGAGTTAACATTCAGGCTTCTTTTATGCTAAAAGGGGAGGGAGTAAAGTCAAACATTTCCTGGTTCCCGCAGCCTCCCAAGGGGATGTGTTAATTTCTTCCTGCCTGCCCTCATTCACGGGTGGGCCTGGTCAGGATGTTTCCTGTAAGCTAAACAAAGGTATTTTAGCTTAATGCTCATTACCTGGGAGGCAGGGTTCCCAGAGATGGGCCATTACGTATAATTTAAGTTTATAGGCAGCATCCCTTCGGTGATTAACTTACAGCAGAAGCAATAGAATACAAAGGTTAAAGCAGAAGAAACAGATCCAATATGGAGTCAGGTATGTTCTTCCCTATGACATCACACGGCCTCTGGAAACCATGCTGTGCACTCATGAATAAAAGGGGAAAAGGACAATATGGTCTCAGTGTTATTATAGAAATACTTTCGACCTCTCAAACCCTCTAAAAGCAGTCCACATCCCAGGTCCAAGGAAAGGCTTGTTCTCTGGACAAAAGCAGCCCAGGGCCCTCCAGGCAGGGAATGGAGAGGAACCGGTTGTGGGGGGATCTCCTGAGTGTGAGAGGAGCTGCCTCAGGATCGCAGATCTGTTTCCTTTGTTTCTTCTCTCCCCACTGGGCTCTTCACTTAGCTCCCCTCTGTCACCAGCCAGCCTCAGGCCAGTGTGGGGTGAAAGAGGTGGGCCACAGAAAACACGTGCTTTGAATTTACCCAGTCCTGGGTCCAACTCTTGTCTCTGTATCTTACCAGCTGTGTGACCTCAGGGAAGTTACTTCACCTCTCAGAGCCCTAGGCCATCATTTGTAAAGGGTTGTGCTACCTCACAGAGTGATGAAAGGGGAGAAAATGCCCATAGGACCCAGGGCCTAATACCTAACAGACATCCTACAAATGGTAGCCAGAAATATCATGCTGCCTCCCCAACTCTCAGGCTGAGCACGGCTAACACAAAGCAGATTAACAATCTCTTTCCTTTCTCCGTGAGTACAGCTATGCCAGGCTGGGATTTTCCAAGAGAAATTCACTCATGGAGAGAGAGGCAGAGCGCAGGTTTTCTATCCTGCAGCAGCAGATGCCAGACTCCACAACCCATTGAAGGGCCCACCCTGACCGACCCGTCCAAGGCCTTAGGCACTGTCTCCTCCTCTGCCCTTTCTCCTGCAGGCCGAGGGGGCCCAGGGAGAGACAGCCAGTCCCTCAAGCTCCCTGACTCACATCAGCACAAACACACCATGTTCTGCCCGTAATGGCTTATCTCCTTGACCTGGTCACTCAGGTGCTTTAGGGAAACTTCCAAAGACCCAGTCTTCCCATCACCCGGATGGGAAGTCGTGGTGGGCAGCAGTTTTGTCCAGGGCCCCAGGACTCATAGGCCTTTAAGCTGCCAAACCCTAACATCCAGCTTCTAAGGCTCTCTCGTGACTGCAAAACGGCCCCACTGTCCCTCTTCCCTCCAGCATCCCTCAGATGCTCACTCAACACCCCAGTGAGGTTAGGACAGGGGTGGCTAGCTCCCCGGTCACACCTTTCACAGAGCACCTAGCTTCCCCCGCGAGGTGTTGGCGGCCTGTGCCTTTAAGGACCGCTGTCCTGTGCCAGGGGCACAATCTCTGCATCCTCAGCTGAGTTGGATTAAGGGACTGTTTCACGCTGCTGCGAATTCCTTCTGGCTGCTGTCCCCTCCCCCACACAGAGACGGAATAGCCAGTAGCCTGAGCCAGTCTGCCGAGGGCAGCAGGAGAGCTGGTCCAGCCTGGCAGCCCGCACCCTCAGACAGCAGAGACTGCCCCTTCGATCGGGGGCCTGGGGGAAGCTGGCGGGCCTTTTGGGGTCTTGGGCTATCGCAGGGACTCCAGGAAGCCATGCAGAGCCTAGAGCCATGAAGGACTGTTCAGATATCATCCTCTGTGTGGAGGCGGCAGAGCTGAGCAAGGTAAGGGTCACACAGGACCACTCCCACAAGACCCAGCTGCCTGCCTGGGGCTGGTAGGGCCCAGTGAACACACCTACCAGGCAATGTGGCCACCGGCCCTCAGCCCTCAAGTCTCTCCCTTCAGACTGAGTTCTGCAATCCTGCTTTCGAGCCTGAATCAGGGCTTCCTTGCCCTCCATCTGCCTTCCAGGAGGCCGCCAGCTGCAGCATCCAAGCTCCCTGGCACGGTAACCATCTGAGAGGGTGACCTGGGGGCTGGACAGAAAGGCCCAGGAGCCAAGGGCTGTGTGAGAGATGCCCAAGGGAAAGGGCGCTCAAAACCCCACCACCCCTGCCCACAGGTCGGCGTCCCCGAGGGCTGCAGCCAGACTGCCACTTCTCCTGGCTGTGTGTCCTCCTGCTGGCCGGCCTGCTGCTCCTGCTGCTCGGGCTGCTGGTGGCCATCATCTTGGCCCGTAAGTACCCAAGGCCTGCTTGGAAGAAGGGCTTTGGAATGTGACTCCAACAGCTATGCTACCCATCCCCCCAAAAAAGATTCGTCTCCTCTGAATCCCACTCCCCCATCTCCTGCCTCCAGAATTACAGGCAACACCCCCATCCGGGGCCTCCTATCATCCACTGCCTTCCCGAGGCCTTGCCACCACTGGCATCACCCCCACTACCATCTTTCAAGCAACTGGGACCCCTAAAGGGCCACAGGAGGCAGGCGTGAGCCCCAGGCCCCAGTCCAGTGAGTACTAAGGGCAGATCTTCCTGGAGAAGGGCTCATGATGGCAGGAGGGGATGGGATGGGCCAGGAAAAGGGACCTTGGGAAAAAAAAGGATCTCTCTCCTTTTGACCTCTGAACTCTAACCTCCATCTCTGCAGCCTGTGGGGGCCTCCTTCCTGGCCCAAGGGGCTTCTTCAGCAGCCCCAACTACCCAGACCCTTACCCACCCAACACCCACTGCGTGTGGCATATCCAGGTGGCCACAGACCATGCAATACAGCTCAAGATTGAAGCTCTCAGCATGGAGAGTGTGGCCTCTTGTCTTTTCGATCGCTTGGAAATATCCCCTGAGCCTGAAGGCCCTCTCCTCAGGTGGGTCCCTCTGCCCCCAGGAGATTCCACCCCTCACCCTGCCCTGAACCGCTGTCTGGAGAGCAGAACTATGGAGATGTGGTGGGAAAGGTTTGAGTGGGAAGAAACAGAGACATGTGACCTCTGGGCCCAGCTCTGCCACTATCTTGCTATATGACCTTGGGAAGGTGACTTCCCCTCTCTGACCTCAGTTTCCAAATCTGTAAATTGGAGCTCCCACCTATAATCCATGAATAAATGCTTCAAGGATGGATGTGCAGGTGCCAAGGAGGTCAGAGCTCCGCTGGAAACGAAAGGAACCTATTTGACACATTGTCACCAGCTTCGGGCTTGAGGAGGGAGGACCGCATGGCCCAGGCAGGCTCTACTCTGGCTGGGCCTGAGCTCTGAACCTCCATCACCCCCAACCTGGCTTCTTGCAGAGTGTGTGGGAGGGTGCCTCCCCCCACACTCAACACCAATGCCAGCCACCTCCGGGTGGCCTTCGTCTCTGATAGCAGCGTGGAAGGATCTGGCTTCCATGCCTGGTACCAGGCTGTGGCCCCTGGGTATGGTGAGTAATTTCCCACCGTGTCCCCAGCTACCCATCAAACTCCCACTTCCCTCCCCTTCAGCCATTCCCAGCACCGGCAAAAGGGGTAGAGACTTGGGGTTCTGAATCCAGATGCCCACCCCCAGGGAGCTGTGCCCACGACGAGTTCCCCTGTGACCAGCTCGTCTGCCTGCTACCTGACTCAGTGTGTGATGGTTTTGCCAACTGCGCTGATGGCAGTGATGAGACCAACTGCAGTGCCAAGTTCTCGGGTACGGGCCCCGCCAGCCTCAGGGCAGTTACTGTCTTCAGGAGTCTGATCCAGATTTAGGCTGGCCTTCCCAAGCCTGGCTCAGCACCAAAGCTGCCTGGTCATTCTTCTGGCCCAGAACTTGTGTCCCCATGGTCATGGCCAAAACCCCTCTGCCAGCACTGCTGGCCCTAATGGGCCAAGACACAGACCCTGGCAAATCCATGAGCCCCTCTTCCTCTCTCCAGGGTGTGGGGGGAATCTGACTGGGCTCCAGGGCACTTCTCTGCTCCCAGCTACCTGCAGCAGTACCCTCACCAACAGGTAAGCCAGCGCTCCACGGGGAGGGTGGTGTGGCACACGTGGGCACACCTGAGCTTCCGGTTAGCATGACTGAGAACAGCAGAGCAGATACTGCCTTGTACCTGGGAAGGTCAGAGATCAAGTAGGCAGGAAGGAAACATTAGTAAGTGCTTACTAGGGACCCAGATTATCTCTGAGACCAGGCAAGTTAAAAGGTCTTTCAAAGATGAGAGCAGTGTGGGCAGAGCCCACCCACTCCCTACCCAGCCTGTAGCAGGTGGGGAAGCCCATCTGGAGCTCAGCCTGGGTGCCCAGATTGGGACAGAAGGAGGAATCCATAAATTACTTCATCTGTGCCCTCCCCCCAGCTTTGCACCTGGCATATTTCGGTGCCCACTGGACATGGCCTGGAACTGCTGTTCCACAACTTCAGCCTGGAAGCTCAGGATGAATGCAAGTTTGACTACGTAGAGGTGTATGAGACCAGCAAGTCAGGGGCTCTCAGCCTCCTGGGCAGGTATCGGCAGAGCCAGTGGGAGGAGCTGAGGACAAACTCCATCCTCCATGGCCTGCAGTCAAGGCTTCCTACAAATTAGCCCAATCACGCTCTAGTTTCCTTGTCTTTTTCTGCTCCAACCTGGAGGTCTCCTCACTGTGACCCTAGAAAAGGCTTGTCCTTCCTCACCTATGTACCTGTATCCCTTACATCACCTTCTCTGGAAGGCCCTTCCCTGGCCTCTCCCCAACCCAGGTCAATTTCCACTTCCCCCAGAACCTGCGCTGATTTTCCCCAGCTTGAAGTGGCTCAGGTTCAAGCAGTTTGTTTAGTACTTTGTCTGCTGAGTATGTGTGTCTTCCTCACCAGACCCTAAGTCCCATGAGTCAGCAAGCATGCGTCCCATCCCCTCTGGCATCGCCCAGAGCACCCAGCTCCATGGAGGCCTGCGGGAGGCCTTGTGCACACTCCGCCAGCCAAGGGGCCCCTCGGTCACCCAAAGGACTGTGTCTGCTTTGGGCAGGTTCTGTGGGGCAGAGCCACCCCCCCGCCTCATCTCCTCGCACCACCAGCTGGCCGTGCTTTTTAGGACAGATCATGGCATCAGCAGCAGCGGGTTCTCAGCCACCTACCGGGCCCTCAATACCACAGAGAGTAGGTGGCCCTGGGCAAGGGGTCTGGGCCATAGAGGCACCTCCAGGAGAACTGGAAAGGGCTCTGGACCCTGGTCAGGGCACCGTGAAGGCAGTGGGGGTAAGGCATGTCCCTGGGCACTGCCATGCCCCCTGTGCCCGCAGACCCCTGTGAACCCAGAGAGTTCTCCTGCGGGGACGAAGGGTGTAAGAGTCTGCAGTGGATGTGTGGCATGTGGAGAGACTGTGCAGAGAGCAGTGATGACAACTGCAGCAGCCCCCTGTTCCCACCCCCAGGTGAGAAGCCTGCCCCAGGTGAGGCTCCGCGGGCAGCAGCTGGCAGACCGGGGCAGGCTGGGTGCCCATCCATAGCAACCCTGCTGGCACACTTCATAATACCCGTCCCGATCCTCCCTGCTTGGGGTGGGGGCCCCCTAACCAGACTCCAGACCACTTCACCAAATCCCAGAGGGACCCCCACCTGGTGGTGGCAATGGTACTTAGTGTCATCCCCAAGGGAAATGGGAATCTGGGAGTCGATGGTTGGGGCTTCAAGAACGAGTCCAGCTTTGTCACACAGAAAGCCTTGTCTCCAGGGCCCACCTCAAAGATGTGGGTGAGAGCAGGGGAGTTTCTTCTGGATGCCCAGTGGTCCTGCCAGTGCTGGTGCCCCCGCTTCCTAAGATCAAAGAGGTGTCTGCATGATGCCCAGGGCTGGTGAATGATACTTAGAGCAGGCTCTCGAGGAGAACAGGAATCCTCGATACGTGCAAAGCATCTTTCCATTTATCTCCTTTGATTCTCACAGACACTCCCATCTGACCCATACAGAGCAATTAGGTGACTTGTCCCAGGTCACACAACCAGTGACTATTCCCCCAGTGACACTCCCCTCCCACCGCTGCAGAGTTGGCCTGTGAGCCTGTCCAGGTGGAGATGTGCATCGGTCTGAGCTACAACACCACGGCCTTCCCTAACATCTGGGTGGGCATGGCCACCCAGGAGGAGGTGGTGGAGGTCCTCAGAGGTTACAAGGTGCGCCAGGCAAAGTTAAGGAGGGACCCCCAGGAAGGGGAGGGAGCCTGGAGTGTGGGATGCCTGAGGGCTGATCTCCTCCTTCCACAGAGCCTGACCAGTCTGCCCTGCTACCAGAATTTCCGGAGGCTCCTTTGCGGGCTGCTTGTGCCCCACTGCACCCCGCTAGGCAGCGTCCTTCCCCCTTGCCGCTCTGTCTGCCAGGAGGCAGAGCGCCAGTGCCAGTCTGGCCTGGCACTACTGGGCACCCCCTGGCCCTTCAACTGCAACAGGCTGCCTGAGGCAGCTGGCCTGGAGGCTTGCGCTCAGCCCTGACTCTTAAGCGGGCCCCTGCCCTCTGCTGCTCAGCCTCTTGCCCATCAGGGCAGGCAGGCAGGGGAAGCAAAGGACAGGGGCCAGCATAGGACTCTGCCCATCCCCTCTGGGTCCTCCCAGGGCGGGAAAGAGAAGTCCTCAATGGGGCTAATCGGACCCTCCCACCCTCCCGGATCTTTCCCTATCCCTTTACTTGCCCCAGATGTTGCAAACAGCTGGCCTGACTCCACGCAGTACCATTGACAATCTGGACCGCTTCTCACACAAGCCTCTGACCCTGATTTCCTATTTTCTGCCTTCCCCATCTCCATTTCTTTTTTAAGGTTCTCTACCACCCACCTTCTTTCTCATTTACTCAACAAAAATGTACTAAGTGCCTACTCGTGTGGCAGGCCCTGTTCTAAGCCCCAGGGATCTAGATGTCTACTGCATCTAGAACTCTCCACCCTCAGTTCTCAGCTTCTATTTCTCCTGAACTACAGCGTTGTCCTTGGTCTCTGTCAAGATGCCATCCCTCCTTCCAGCTCCTTGGAGCTGTAGATGCCCTAAGCATGTCTCTCACGGTTCTGCCTTTCTGTGCCCGGCTCAAATCTCTCTCTCTCTCCTTTCTCCCTCAAACTTTGGCCGGCTGCCGGCCGACACCACGAGTTATTTCCCTGCTATTTCCCAGCCCGGGCTCTTGGCCCCTGAACAACTGGTTTCCTCTTGGAGTCTGGGAGGAGCAGAGAGAAGCCGGCAAGGAAAGAACCAGGATCAGGGGGACGCCGAGGGCAAGGGGCGCCGGGCGGGAGAGAAGCGCAGAGAAGGCAGCAGGGGTCAAGCAGAGGGTCCAGAGTGGCAAGCGTCCCGAAGGAGGCCAGAGAGAAGCGAGCAGCCCCTCAGAGCCAGGAGAGGGGTGAGTCTGGCCGAGGGGGGAGGGGCGGGGAAAGAGGGATGGGGAGGGGCTGTGGGGAAGACTGGGCACCAGCCTGGATTGGGGGGGGCAGGGAGGGCCGGCCTCCCCGTTCCTCTGCGCTGGGCTCTCAGGGTTCCCGGGTCTAGGGGGCGCCCCCTTCTTCGTTCCCCCGCGGCCGCTCAGCCTCAGTCAGGGGCAGGGCAGTGGGGTGGAGACCCAGCCGGCAGCGCCGGGGCGGGAAGCGAGGCAGGTCCCAGGATTCTGGGTCCCGACTCTTGTCCTGCCCGGCCCACAGACGACCAGAGGCACCCGGCGTCCGGGCTCCGCGTGCCAGCGCCATGAGGCCGC